CATGGATTTCTTGGCCGTAAGAATTAATCTCCCTCCGGTGTCTCCAGCGCTTCGCGACTCCGTGTGCGCCTCTTTCTGGGATAATTAAACATGCCCGTCTTACTTGTTAGCGCGATTGTCTCAGGGGCGTTCTCAAAAACCTTTCGGCTGCGAGTTTCGGCCGTCGCGCGCTGGGGAAAGATTGGGGTGAGCAACACAAGCGTTATCCAAACCGGAGAGGCCTGAGTCGCTGCCACGAGCCCTGCTCTCCAGCATGGCCTGGGGACACAAGGCAAAGGCGCTTTTTATGAAGGAGTCGTGAACTAATTCAGCTGGGTCGTGGTGACACCTAGAAATGCAATAAGGTAAAGGCTGGGCAGGCTTCAGAGGGTTTGAATGGTGACAAATGTGCCATCACCCATGACATGAAGAACTGTGGCTCTTTCTTTTTCCAAGGTCACTCCTGAAAACCTGGAAAAATCAAGAGCGAGAGGGAGAGAATCTGTGCATGGGGCCGTTCACACTCGCGGTTTTGTTCACAGGTATCTGCTGCACTGTGACATTATTCCAGCGCCTTTTAATGCGGAAAAATGGAGGCTCTGGAAACACCCACCGAAAGAACAGAAGATAGGAAATAAAGCTCGAGAGTGCCAGAGGGAATGAAGTAAATATTTTTTCCTTCTTTTTCTTTTTTTTAATTTTTTTTCCTTCTTTTTGTTTTCCTCCATCCCGCCTTCCCCCGGGGGCCCCGCAGGGATGTCTGGTGATCTCCGCAATGCTGTGCTGGGGCAGCTCTGGATGGGCCAGGCAGGAGTTTAGCAGGGACGGGGAACCCCAGGCTGGTCCTGGGGGGTGCCCTGCTGCTGCGCGTGGTCTCCCAGAAGCCCTGTCTTCTCCTTCCCTTTACACCCAGGCCACTTTGGGGTCAGCTACGTCCAAAGAGCGATTCTGGGCTCACATGGGCTCAGCCTGGCCTGCAAATGGGGAGATGGCCTGCGCCTGCTGCAGAAAGGTGGGGTGGGAACGGGGACGGGAGCCTAATCCCATCCCTGACCCTCCATCCCCAGCTGCCCCAAGCCCAGGCCATGGGCCATGCACCTGCACAGCAGTGCCACAGGTCAGCCTGCACCCAAAGGTGTTTTTAATATGGCGTTTGCAGGTAGGCGTTGCAAAAAGGCAGCCGGAGGCGTGCTGGGAGCACAGAGCCCACCTCCCAAAAACAGGCAGCAGCTGAGAGCAGGTGACAGGGCCCTGTCCCTGCCTGCCCCCCTCGCACCTGGAAGCCCCCTCACCTGGGGCCGCTGTGCACCCATAAAAGCCCAGCCCTGCCCTGGCTCTGCTTGCTGCTGCCCCTTTCAGCTGGGGGCAGAAAGCTGTTCCCTGCATTTTTAGGGCTAGCTCTAAGCTATGAATTTTTAAGCCCTGGGACTGGGTGTCTCAGCTTCTCTTGAAAGAGAAGGCAGACCTACGTCTAGTCTCAGGGTATGTCTTTACTGAAGAGAAGAAGCCTAAAA